GCGGGGCGCGGGGGCGCGGGCGGGGGTCGCTGCGGGGCTCGGCCTGTCGGGCTCCCCGGGTTTCCCGGGCTCCTTGGCCCCGGTGGGGGGACAGGGACTGTGGCCCGAGGAGGCGCGCGATGCTCATTCAGGGGCGAGGGCCGAGGGGCGAGGGCGCGAGCCTCACACGCTGTGGGCTCGGGGAAGCCCCCGAAATCACCAGTGCGCGGCGGGAGGAGGGCACGTTTTGAAAGGCCAGAAAATTCAGCTCATTTCCCCGCCTCCCACCTCCCCCACCCCTTCCCTTCCAAGCCCGGGGAAAGGCGCAGAACCCGGAGTTATAAAAAGCCATCGCTGGCGAGGAGAGAGGAGGAAGGGGGGCGGGGAAGAAGCGAGGGGAGAACGGCGCAGGAGGATCCAGAGGGCTCTGCGCCCCTCCTGCGACAGGATAGGGGGCGCAGGGGAGGGAGGGCAGGACTGCACACCGAGCTCGGCTCTGCGCCTTCGCGGCTGGCCTTGGCGCCGGCCACCTCGGGAGGGGCTCCGGTGGTTTGGGGAGAGGGGTCGCTCCAGGACGGAGAGGCTGTCCTGAGCGCTCCGTCCGTGGTGACCTGTGACAGGTGGGCATCTGAAGTCCCAGAACCCCCACCCCCATCTTTTAAAATTTAGGAAAAGCACACCCATTGCCAACCCCTGCCCCTCCATCCTGATTATCTGGAGTGTGAGGGTGGTGGTGAAGATGAGAACTCGTTTGAAAAAGAAAGAAAAAGTTTTTCACGCTGCTGCCCTCTTTCTGGCAGGGCCAGGTTCAGGACAGCGGGGCGACCCACGGAGCAGGGAGTTTCAGCACTCGAAGGGGCGGACAGCGCCCCGGGTGGCTGGGGCGCTCCTCGGCCGCAGCGGCCCGGGGTGGGGCTTGCCCGGCTCGCGGGGCTCCTCTCCGGCCCGTTCCCGCCCAAGGGCGGCCCCTCCCTCCGTCCGCGGGGTGGGACTGACTTCAGCACCGGCGGGAGGGACAGCGCCCGCCGTCCCACCCCCTTGAGCCGCTTAAGCGCCCGGAAGGTCAAGGCCGGCGGGGACCCTGCTGGAGAGGCGGGGAGGAGCCATGCCCAGCTCCAGGTTCGCTGACCCGCGTCTGCTTTCGCTTTCTGCCTCGCAGCCGTCGGGATGGAGGTGAGAAGGCGGCCGTGACGCACGAACGCGCGAACCCCTGCACCCCAGCGGCCCGCTGCGCTCCCTGCCCCCCTCCCCGGCGGCAGCCGGCCTTGCCGTCGAGTGACAGCGGCCTGGGGGGGCAGGGGGGGCGGGGGCGGCCGGACCAGCGATGCCGGCGGGCATGACGAAGCATGGCTCCCGCTCCACCAGCTCGCTGCCGCCCGAGCCCATGGAGATCGTGCGCAGCAAGGCGTGCTCGCGGCGTGTGCGCCTCAACGTCGGGGGTCTGGCGCACGAGGTGCTCTGGCGGACCCTGGACCGCCTGCCCCGCACGCGGCTGGGCAAGCTCCGCGACTGCAACACGCATGACTCGCTGCTGGAGGTGTGCGACGACTACAGCCTCGACGACAACGAGTACTTCTTCGACCGCCACCCGGGCGCCTTCACCTCTATCCTCAACTTCTACCGCACAGGGCGGCTGCACATGATGGAGGAGATGTGTGCGCTCAGCTTTAGCCAAGAGCTTGACTACTGGGGCATCGACGAGATCTACCTGGAGTCCTGCTGTCAGGCCCGCTACCACCAGAAGAAGGAGCAGATGAACGAAGAGCTCAAGCGTGAGGCCGAGACGTTGCGGGAGCGCGAGGGAGAGGAGTTCGACAACACGTGCTGCGCAGAGAAGAGGAAGAAGCTCTGGGACCTGCTGGAGAAGCCCAATTCCTCTGTGGCTGCCAAGGTGAGTCTGAGATGGTGGCGCTGTGGGGCTTCAGGGCTGAGCCCACGTCCCTAGATCGAGGAGTGTTGTTGGGAAGTCTTTGGCCAAGTCCCCAGATGTGAAGATCAATGACCTTAGACTTCCTGGGCATTAATTTCTCCCTACACTGTTGGAGGAAATGATTTATAGGTCCTTATGAAAAGCTACGTATCTGACAAGAGAGAACGCTGAAATAGAGCATTTCGGGGACGGGGCAAAGTTGGGGCTGCTTCACTGGAAAGTCCCAGACCCAGGCTGGAGTGGGTGACCCTGTGACGATGGTGCTTGCCCCTATGCTTCTAAGCCCACTTGCCCGAGGAGAGGAATGAGAGCAACCCAGACACGCCTGGAGGCTGTTGAGATACTGTCAGGTCCTTTTAACATAAAAGAAAAACAAAGGGAAGAGACACAGAGGGGTGGTGTGTATGATCCAACACGTGGCCTTGCCTGTGAATGCTTGTGGGGGAGGGTCATCTGGATACTGATTTATTTATCAATCTATTTGGTGAATTTCTTCGAAGAGAAGTTCATTGCAGCTTTTAAAGAAGCTTTGGCTATTGGAGGAGCATGTGCATCTTAAAATTGGAGAGAATAATGAAGTGGTTTGACAAGTAAAGAAGCAGAGACAGGAACTCATGTGACCCCACAGGGCGGGTGCTGGGTGGAAGCAGGCGCCACAAGGGATGGGGAGTTTCTTAGGGCAGGGGCCACTGGTTGGTGTGTGACTCCACTGAGCCAAGCTGGGACTCAGGTGCCCAGTGGGTTGGGGCCTGTCCTCATGTGTCCAGAGCTCTGCTGTCATAAGCAAAGGACTATACAGTGTGTTCCGAGCTGTAGAACAGGTGGGGAGGAGCCCAGGGCAAGCTGGGCAAGCAGAGATGCTGCTGTTGGAATCCTACAAGATCAGGTTGGGAAAGTTGGGGAGAATGAAATTCTCTCTGGCTTCCAGGAGCGGGGACAGGCAGGTAACTAGCTTCCGGCCAAAAGGACAAGGGAAAGAGGCCACCACCATTCATTAGTTGGGGCTGGTGCTCATCTGTCTGATCTCTCCTTGTGGGAGCCTAGTGGCTCAGGGGCCCCTCTCTTGGTCCAGTCAGAAGGGGGCTCTGGCATCCTTTCCCCAGACCTAGCAGCTCAGGGAGAAGTCCCCAGAGTAGACACAGGTGGGGGCAGCTGGTCGGAGGTGAGCCCATATACTTCTTCTCTGGCCTGCAGATACTAAAGAGGACATGGAGTCCCCAGGCCCTGTCTCCACCCAGGATGCGATGGCCTGCCTCCTGCCATAATCCTGCCCATTTCGTGTCCAGAGAGCCTTCACTGTGAGAGTTGCTCACCCTTAACCGGCTTAGGATCAACAGACTTATTTTGCTATTTCCAGGTCTGACACAGGTTCCCCCACTGCCCATCCCATTTAGGCCCAGACGTGCCTCTTCTTGTCCTGTGGCAGGAGGTCTGAGGGCAGGATGGGGGCTCTGCCCTCTCTGTGAAGAAGCAGGCAAAGGGCTGTCTGTGTTTGAGTGGTGACTGGTGGCAAGATGCAGATGCTCCAGCTTGCAGGAGATGCTCTTTGGGTATAAACGGCCTCTCCTCTCCCTCGGGTTAATCCGATCACAGGGACTGAGCTTCGGGGCTTCATGACCTCTCTGTGATCCCAGGCTGGGCTGTCAGCTTGTATTCTTGGCAGATGGACCATCTAGGATTTCTCTGCAGCTGGAGCTGAAACAGGCAGGCAGGAGGCCCATTGGAAATCCTGACTGCTACTGAACAAATACTTAACAAATAGTGATGCTCAGAGAGGTCAAGCACCTTCTCCTAGGTCACAAAGCAGGCAGGCAGGAGTAGCCATGATTCAAATCCAAGTGTTGGATTTTTGAACACTCTGTTCCTTCCCTGTTGATTAAGTGCCCCAACTTCTTATGACTCCCTGCTTCCACTTTTGCCCCTTATAATCCATTCCCCACACAACAGCCAAAGTGAGCTTTTCAAAATGCAAATTGGATTCCATTATTCATCTGCTGAAAGTCCTCTGGAGGTTTCCCATCACACGTAGCATAAAATCCAGACTCCATTGTGGCCTATGAGGCCTACAGAATCTGGTGTTTCTGAGGAGACTCTCGAAGCTCATCTCCTCTGCTCTTCGGCTTACTCGGTTCTGCCTCACTGGCCTCCTTGCCATCTGCAGCGGGCCAGGACTTACCTACCCCAGGACCTTTGCACTCGCTGCTCCTGCTGCCAGCTGTCTGTCCTCCGTCCCCATTTATGCAGTCTGTGCCTCCCATTGTTGCATCAGGCTGCCTCTGTCCCACATGGCCTGAGGCCCCACTTCGTGTTGTATTTGCCTTGTGGTTCTTTGTATCATACCCACAAGTTGTGAACTCCTTAAACTGTCCTCTCTGCTCTGTTCCAACCACAAGTCGTAGGGCCTGGCACAACTTGTTATTAAAGGAGCTCTAATAACCGCGCTTGGAATGAACGAATGAGGGAGTGAACGAAGAGCCATTAGCCACTGGCTCAGGCTGTGGGATCCGGCACTTTTTCCTCACCACTTGTGCCTCAGGCCCCTGAGCTCAGCCCTCTTTCGGTCATTTGTACTTGGCCACCCCAGCCCCCAGCCTGGGCACCTGCGTGACAGGAGAGCAGGGCTCATGGGAATTTCTCCAAGGCCGTGGCTGAGAGACCAAGTGGAGGATGGTGTTGGGTGCTGGTGAGGGACAGAAATGGCTTCACCTGTCCCCTTTGTCTAAGAGTGAGCAACAGTCAGGGTTTGGCCTTCGCTCCTCCTCTTCCCTGGTCCTAGGTAATTTCTTCACCGCTCCAGGCCCAGCGTCCCGCTGAGAAGTAGAGGCCGAGAGCCTGCCCTGACAGGTAGCTATGTAATGGTGTTTCTCCGCAGTCCCACTCCCAGTCTTGCACATAGTAGGGGGTGTTGCTGTCCTCAAGGATAATAAAGGACAGAGTCCTTTCTGCTGGGCTGGGCCAAGCTGCTGCAAACCCTTTTCTTCTGTGAAGGCTGATCTGATGCTGTTAATAATTGATGGGCTGTTCTGGCAACTCTGAGACAAACCACAGCACAGGCCCTAGACTTCTCCACCAGGGGAGCGAAAATCAAAATCCATTAGGCAAGAGGCTGCATGATTGATTCTTCTTTGGAAGATGGGGCCGGCCCCATAGGGCTGACAGTGGCTCAGTGCTGGGGCCACTACGGGCTTCTGCTTTCTGGGAAAACTCGAAAGGCATTTCTCAGTAGGAGCACAGGGAGTTGATTTGCCAGGCCTTCCTTAGAACAGCCTCAGGGGTTAAAGCCCTGATCTAATTCTCTGATTTCCAGAGTAACTACTGTTTATTGTGCCAAGTACTGATGCAGTGTATTGCATATGTACCATCTCACTGAAACCCTTCCAGCAATTCAATTAGGTAGTGTGCCTGTTAGGAGTACTTTAGGCTGTAAGTAACAGAATAGAAAACTCAAAGCAGCTTCCAAAAGGAGGAGGATATGTCATTTCACATATCCTGAAGGTCCGAAGTAGATGGTTTCCAGCTGAATGAAAGCTCAGTGGTGCCATCTGGATTTCAGGATCTTCCTATCTCTCTACTCCTCCAACTTCTGCAAATCACTTGGTCCTCACGCTTGATGCCTCATATCACAACGTGGCTGCCCAGTTCCAGCCCTGAAATGTAGACAGTGATGTCCAAACTCCTAAAGAAAGGTATTCTTTCCTACACTCTATGGTTTGTGTTTTTTGTTTTTGTTTTTGTTTTTGTTTTTTGTTTTTTCTTCATGGGAAAAGTTTCCAGGACCAGCCAAGCAGATGCAGGGGCCAGGGTTTCAATCCCTGGGCCTGCCGTGCTGGCCCACCCCTGGAGCACATTGAGACAGCAATTGAGACTGGGCGTGCTGGTGTTCGTCTGTGATCCCAGCTCTTGGGAGGCTGTAAACAGGTGGATCACTATGAGTCCGATCTATTAGTGAGGCCCTGAATGCCCTGTAGACCCTTCCCTAAAGTACAAAAAAAAAAAAAAGTTTCCCAGGAACATCCTAGCAGACTTTCTGATAATCCCATTGGTCAGGGTCAGGTCATACTCACGCCCTAGCAGTAGGGAAAGCCAGGGAAGCAACTATCTAGTGTTTTCAGATGAGGGAGGGAATGGATTTGCTGAGTGGTCACAGTGATTGTGTCACCACCAGATTCTCCTTTCCAGTTGCCACTATGTCCCATTAGGGTGCCCGTCGTGGGACTGCCAGTCACAGTCCTTGGGGATTTCTTGCCCTAGCAGGTCGAGGCTTTTCATTTATGTATTGTCACCAAGTGGAATGGGGACTGACTCGGAGCCCCTGGGCTCTTCAGTGCTCTCAGGGGTCTGGCTGGACCTCAGCTGGCCCCAAGGCAGGCGTCTCAGGTCCCTGTCTTTAGTACAGGGACGAAGCTCCAGGGATTCAGAGTCTTGGCTATGGGCTCTTCCAGACCTGGCTGTGAAGTCCAGCCCTACCTTTTCCCAGGTGTAGACTTTGGATACTCCATGCTGTAGATTTTATTTCTTAATCTACGAAGAGAGTGAAAATCAAACCTGCCCCACAGGGTTGTTCACAGGATAAATATGATAGTGCATGAAAAATATTGAAATCTGGTAAGATTTGTTGTCTCCATTTAACAAAAGGAGATCCAGCGGCACAGGTTGCTTCCGTAACTTGCCTGAGCCATACAGTGAATGCTCGTGGACATCTGAGGCCTTCGAGCCCCACCATTGCTGGCCCATGGGGTTGAGAGTCTTTCTGCTCCTCTAGGAAGCCTGGCCAAGACCGGAGACTGGCAACAGTCCCTGGGAGGGGTGGGGTTTGCAAAGCTTCTCTGGGATGGCGACATGAAAGTGCTTAGGAAGGGAAAGCGCTGGCCAAATAAGCAGTTTGGCCAAAGCTTAATTAACTGGAAGAGAACAAACACGCATTAGGCACCAACTCTATACCCTGCACTTTATTGACGACC